TATTTTCTTCTTCCATTCATGTGAATTCTGAATTAATTTAGTAAAATGTCTTTTTTTGCAAAAAAATTGTATTTCGCTGAACTAATTAATTTATAAAAAGTGAAAATAAAGATACTTTTTTATTAAACTTTATTTTTTTTGGTTATCACTTTTAATCATATGCACCATTTTTTAAGGACTGAAGAGGACATAAAAATATATTGAAATTAATTTTCAGAACCAAGTTTTTCTATCTGCCAGAATGAAAACCATTGTTTGACAATAAGGATACATGTCTTAATTAGCAGCTGTTTTTTTTGGTATGAATTCTTTTTCATCGAATAACACCAGCCGAAAATTTTTAGTGATTTGATGACTTCTTATACCCAAGCCCAATTCCCATCAACCCCACCACCATGCATCCGATTCTTTCTTCCAAACACATCTAAATACATACTCAAGCAATATTGTTCACTGCTACAATGAATTGTGTGCGCGTATACTATATAGGGCTAGGCACGTTCACACTTTTTAAAATCATTTCGCTAACGGCTGGCCGGACCAAATTGGCGGAATATTTTTAAGGTAACCTTAAGTGTTTTAAATTTTCACGAGCAACTCCGGGCATGCACTTCAGCAATATGAAAGATATTTAAAGAAATTAGAGCTTCAGCCGTTAACAAACTATTAACGATTATTTTGATGAAAAAACGGGAAAAATTAGAAGACAACTTTCAAAAAGATCAAAACACATACATTTAAAAAAAATTCACCGTTATTTCAGAACACATCCATTTGTTCTTTTTTTATTTCCTGTGATTTTTTTCATGAACGGTTATTTTCGCTGTTAGCGATTTTAAATTTATTAAAGTTTTTAACGTTCGTTAACAGAATCTCTTTGATTCATTTTCAAAGCTTGCTGTTCGTTGTCCACCCCTAATACAACAGTGTGTTGAGCGCGTAATTTGACGAAAAATACTCATCCGGTGCTCAGTCTGTTTTACACGCATCAGAAGTGAGCATATCTAAAGGATATGAGTCTATAGTGCACACAATCTTGTTGCAGGGGCGTATACTGAGTTTAATCTATTGGTGAATGGGTGGGGGGGGGGGGGGCTCAAGGGGACAAATGGGTTAAAATGGTGGAAAAAAAGAGGAAGTTCAATTTTTGTGATTATTATTTTGTATGGCCCCCGGCTCTCCCTTTGAAGTGAAGATTAGACAGTGCTCCAATCCCCCCCCCCTCTCCTGCAATGAATGCAAAGTTTTGTGCAAAAAATTCATTTATAGAAAAAACACCAAACTGTTGCGCAAGGGAATCTTCTGTTTCGTGAAAACCCTAATCCTGGCCCATATCGAAATAAAAGTCGGTAACATAAAGTATCATCAAAAACTAATTTTCACACCTTTTTATTAATTTCAAATAGACATTTCTTGTTTAAAATAGTATTACCTATATTTAATACATGTTATGGTGCAGTTTTATTCAACTCAACTTGGATTTAACGGTATATTGCATGAAAATGATAAATTTACTTGACTTGACCCATTTACAAATATTATAGATTAGTTTTTAAACACCACTTGTTGCAATGTTGCTGCAGAGATTTAATGACATACATGATATTTCATAATAATACATGATAATTCATGATAATTCATGATAATTCATAATAATTCATGATAGATGAGACATGATACTTGATACATGATACATGATACATGATACATGATACATGATACATGATACATGATACATGATACATGATACATGATACATGATACATGATACATGATACACGATACATGATACATGATACATGATACATTATACATTACACACGATAAATGGTACATGATACATTATGCGTGAAGAATGATATATGATACATTATACACGATAAATGATACATGATACATTATACATCATACACAATAAATAGCACATGATACATGATACATAATAAATGATACATGATAAAAGATACATGATACATAATACATGACATATCTTAAATGATACATCATACATGATACATATAAATGGTACATGATATATGATACATGGTAAAAATCACCACTGCTTTTAAATTTACTTGTTTTGAATATTGGATTCCCAAAATATGATTTTATTTATTGTTTATCTGTTAAAAATTGTATTACGCATTCATCCATGAAATCAGAGTTTTGCATCTTTTGTTTCAGCATCAGCAGTTTTCAATCTTACCAGAATTCTTTTGTTATCAAGGAAATATTAAAACCATAAAGTTGCATGTTGATAAATTAATGAACAAACTTCAACATTAATCCACTTGTAGAACTTAATCCAAACTTTCAAATTGAAATTATTGATTTTACACAACTTTAAAACTTAAATAATTTTATCTTTGAAAACTGTGAAATAAAATTTGGTATTGGCATGGTCCACAGCAATACCTTTTAAACCTTGGCCTTTAAACTTTAAAAATTACAAAGTACCTTTGTTAAAGAACCTTTAGTAAAGCTCCTTTGGTAAAGTACTTTTGGTAAAGTTCCTTTGGTAAAGTGCCTTTGGTAGAGTACCTTTGGTAAAGTACCTTCGGTAAAGTAACTTTGGTAAAGTACCTTTGGTAAAGTACCTTTGGTAAAGTACCTTTGGAAAAGTACCATTGATGAAGCTTACCTTTGGTATAGTACATTCGGCAAAGTACATTTGATAAATTTTACCATTGTTAAAGTACTTTCGGTAAAGTAACTTTGGTAAAGTACCTTTGGTAAAGTACCTTTGGTAAAGTACCTTTGGTAAAGTACCTTTGGTAAAGTACCTTTGGTAAAGTACCTTTGGTAAAGTACCGTTGGTAAAGTACCTTGTTAAAGTACCTTCGGTAAAGTACCTTTGGTAAAGTATCTTTGGTAAAGTACCTTTGCCAAATTACCTTTGGTAAAGTACCTTTGGTAAAGTACCTTTGGTAAAGTACCTTTGGTAAAGTACCATTGGTAAAGTACCTTTTGTAAAGTACTTTTGGTAAAGTATCTTTGGTTAAAACCTTTGGTAAAGTACCTTTGGTAAAGTACCTTCGGTAAAGTATCTTTGGTAAAGTACCTATGGGTAAGTAACTTTGGGAAAGTACCTTTGAGAAAGTACCTTAGGTAAAGTATCTATGGTAAGAACCTTTGGTAAAGTACTTTTCGGCATGTACCTTTGGGAAAGTATCTTTGGGAAAGAACCTTTGGCAAAGTACCATCGGGAAAGTACTTTTGGGAAAGTGTTTTAGGGAATCAACCCAACATCTGACACCAAGCATTAGATGGAAAGGGTCCAATACATCAGGATTTTCGGAAAATAAATATTAATGACAAAGGAATTGTTCTTTGCCACAAACTCAGATTTTTAAAATCCCAATTCTTTTCCACCCAATATTGAAGACCTTGGATATTTCAAGCTTTTAAATCTGTTACACTAGGCTTTTAGGGCGTTACGCGTCCATCTATTATTTCAATTGTGAACATTTTATCGTTGTATACATTAAAAAACAAAAACTAAATTTTTTTGACGTTTATTGGATACTAACAGACTGAGACAGACACTCAAACAGACTAGCAAAGTATTTATATAAAGTTTAAATAATCTTAGGGTGAAATATCATAGGTTTACAATTACATCATCATGTTGGATAAATACAATAGACACAAGGATTATATATTTTGAGTTTGTGGCAAAGACTCAATTCTTTGTAAAATGTTTATGATCTCTGTAGTTGGAAAATATGTACACAATGTTTTTACAATATTTACACAATTTTACTCCAGTACTGGTCGGGGCTGTGTTGGTTATAGGTCCGGTTAAATATCTAAATAAGGTTTTCCTGTGTGGGTTTTTTACAACCATCCTTACCATTGTATACGCCCTTTAGAGGAACGGTAAACGTATTGAAGTGACCCTTCATACAAAGTTGAAAATGCTGAATGGTGAATATAAAAGCTTTGTCTGATCAAGTAAGAATTAGTTTCTGACCCATTTTATAGTTTTTGTAAACTACTTATTTTCTTTTGCGGTTTCTCTGAGGAAGCCACTTGCTCATTCCTTGCTATTAATAAGCAATAAAGATATTCATTTAAGTAATTACTTTTTGAGTTGGAAAAAACAAAGATATCTATCATATTTTTGATCAGATACAGGTCTCAAGGGTATCGTTGTAAATCGGGGATATCCCACTTTGCATGGAATTAATCCTACTGTCCCTTTAACAGATCTATGAATTTCAATCAGAAAAGGCTTTGGAAGAAAAGCGGTCATTTATCATACTCTCTTAAGACTACATCAAAAGTCATTACCATGATTTAAATACTTGTTTATTTAGATACATACGTTGTAAAAACAACAATTTTTTGTAATTTGTCATCTGAAAAAATAAATAATTTACCTTTTCATAATATCATTTTGAATAAAAATTTCTAAGTATTAAAGGTATTAATATTAGTGGGATTTCTTCTTATTGATTACAGAAATAATGCTTTAAACTTTTTATCAATTATCCTATTCCAGTTTTTAGAAACTATTTACTAAAAAGAAATGTTTTCCATAAATCAAACTTTTCAGAAATGGTTAAACTCCGAGAATTTATTAAAGTAGGTTAAATCAATTAAACTAGACTTTTGGGACGCTTTGCACCCATCCTCTATTTCAACTTTTAATTGTGGCTCTATCTATGAGCATCTTTGTAAAATATAGAACAAAAACTTTGTGGATATAATCATAATTTTTCTTAGATTTTCAAAATTTATCAAAAGTAAGAAATTTTGGAGACAAATTTTTAAAACTCTGAGCATCCATAACCCTTCTCTGGGGTCATGTAAGGTCCCAGAACAATTCTTTTATATATTCATCCATTCTTTCATCTATCCATTAATAAATTCATCCTTTTAATAATTTGTTCGTTATGACTCACAGAAATTGATTTAGATTTGTTCAAGAAAGGGATTATAAAAAATCACGTTTAACTAAAATAAATTAACTTAAAATTGAAATCTTATATTCTTTCATGACCCCTGACTATTTAAGAGCTGTTGAGAATAATCTAACAGATTCATGTACAACAGCAATATCAACAACCTGCGGTCTGGCGGAACAACAACCTAAAGTTAAACAGCCGCAAGCGGTAGGGCAACAGCAGCAGCAAATACATATACAAAAGCAATATCAACAACTTGCGAAACCACAACCGTCTTTAGCTCCAGAAATGCCACAACAACCAGTAGTTCAGCAGCAGCAAGCGATAGGACACCAACCTGTTGTTCAACAACAACAGCATGTTGTTCTACAACAACAGCTTGTTGTTGTTCAACAACAATCTGTTGTTCAACAACAACAACCTGTTGTTCAACAACAACAACCTGTTGTTCAACAAAAACAGCATGTTGTTCAACAACAACAACCTGATATTCAACAACAAAAACCTGTTGTTCAACAACAGCCTATTGTTCAACAACAACCTAGTGTGATAAAATCTTTAAAATTCATTTTCAGAAAAGTATGAAAAAGTCTCTTGAAACAAAATTTGTGCACTATTAAAGTTTCTTTTAAAGAAAAATCAAGAAATAAGAATGCTTATTTTTCCAACATAAACACACAAAACAAAGTTAAAAATGTTTTTAGATAAAATTTCTTTAATTCTACTTTTGGTCTTAGTTCCTCTTTTACATAAGGTAAAATATAATAAATATAATAATAATAAATTATTTATATCAAAAATTTTAATAACAACTATAGTAATAATATTACTACAACTTCTACTACTACTACTACTTCTACTACTATACTACTACTAATAATTATAATAATAAAGAAATTTAATAGTAATAATAATAACTTGCTGAAGTGCCCGGCGTTGCCTGTGGAATTTTAAAAAAATCGAATTTTGAAAAAAATGTCAGCGAATTCGGTCTATCTATTTGGCCAGTTATAGAAAGCATATAAATATAAATACAAAAAAAGATATACATATGAGCTAAGAGAATTATAATAATAATACTAATAGTAATATCATTAACACTACTACTACCACTATTACTACTGCTACTTCTAGTCTAATACAAATAATAATAATAATAATAATAATAATAATTATAATAATAATAATAATGATAATAATAATATTAATGTTTTTGTTTCATATGAAGGTTGGAATATCAGTTCTTGCAAATGATTCCAAAAAGAAAACATTAGGGTAATATTTTCCTGTATAATGCCTTTATATGAGGTAACGCTATGAAAACCTAATTATTTTTCCTTTTTTAAAACTTTAAAAAACTAAAGTTTTGTTCAATTTTTTCTTATTATAGACCCATGACAAAATTTGTTAAGAAATCTTAAAAACTCATTTTTAGGATTCAATGTGTTTTTGACGTGTTTAATAAATTTTGTTTAGAGGAAAACCTGTTATTGATAGATCTAATGAAAACTTCTTTGTGGATAGAATTCTAGGTAAAGATAATAATCAAGATAAGGAATTGAGACCTTTCCACAAACTCAAACTTTCTAATTCCTATATCCAGCAACCTGATGATGCAAACCTTTGATATTTAAACTTAGATTATTTCATCGAACAGAATAGACAGGTTGATGTGTATAAGGTCTGCAACAATGGGTTGCATTGCAACGATGTAGGGATTATAAAGTTTGTGGCAAATACTCAATTACTTTCTCAATAAATAAGTAATAAAGATTATATAATAGAACTGATTACTAGTTTTTTTAAGCCCTATGTACGCATTTTTAACCTTACATATTTAACCCTTGATATTTATAAACTCTAAATTTTTAAGACACAGCAGAACTCATGGTTTGAAATATGAGGTTGCAAATATATGAAAATTAGAAAATAAGAGTTTGGAAGAGTGACATTTACTGCTTACGCTGAAATCACCTTCAGTTAAAGTTCTTTCTGGTGTTAGGTATTTTTTCCAATGGAATTTTTTCAAGTGGAAACTTCCAAAATGTGCAATTTACCAAGCGGCAATTTCCCAAAGGTTAGGTTAGGCCCTCTAAGGCGCCGCAGACTGCAAAGGGGGGCCGAGCGCTGCGGCTAGGCCAGACTTGGGAAGTTGCCGCTTGGGAAATTGCACAATTGGGAAAATAACCTTGGGATGTTGCTGCTTGGGAAAAAGCCTTTTGAAAAATACCTTTCATCAATTTTTGGTAATTCAGCCTGTTTTTTTTCGAGGTTAAATTGTGGTAGATGTACAAATAATCACTCATACAACCGAGATTTGGGAAAATAAAAAAAAATATATATTTTTAGATGACAACACAAAATCTTTCAATTTCTATAATCTAAATCCTGTGGATTTGTCTTACAACTTCAGCTATGATACAGGTAACAAAGACGACATTATAATGGCTACACCATCTCAGTTTATTAGATTTTTAAACCTGTTTCATTTTTATTTTATGCTAAAGCTGCAGAATCAAGCATATTAAAGATATACTAGACAAGGTTTTTTAACGAATAATAGATAAAGAAACTGATTACTTGCCTCAAGCTTAAATTTTCTTATTCTGATAACTTTGCTACTGAATGCTGTACCAATGTAAAATTAATCCAATGGTGTAGCCCTTTAAAGGATCAAGCATTGATCCTGAAAATTAAAAGTGCCCACATCAGATATTGAGATTAAGCATTCAAAATATATTAACGATGCTCCACACACAAGCTCCTTTGCGTACATGTAGGGCCTCGACTGTGTGATTAAATAATTGTATAAAAAACGTTTCTTCTGCGAACCATCCTTTCGGGAGAAATTTTAAAAACAAAGTTAAACGATCTTACTTAGAAATTATAAACTATAAAAACGTCTCAATTGTATACAATATTTCCTAAAATAATAATTATATCATTCAGTATAGCCAGGGTAGTTTGTGGTGACTGGTAGTGGTGTTAAATTTCATGACAAATATTTCCACAGTGGATCATTGTTATGCACATTATTTGTTGAACCACAATTCAAGAATCCAGGGATTCACATTTTAAAGGGACTATTCACGTAATTTCAAGTGACTCTCTTCAGTTGTGGAGTAGCCTGTGTGATTCACAATGGTACCCTCCAGACCTTTATCTAATCAATAATATAGAAGAATGAGACTTCAGAGACGATTGAATAGATTTTAGACCGTCTGTTTCCTAATATTTATGATTCTCTACAACAAAAAATTTGTGTCTTTCTTTGCCTTATTATTAAAAATGCCATAAAAATCTATAATTAAAGGCAAATTAATTCAACCTTGAAATAGTCATAATTAAAGAGTCTTATAGGGCGTCTATACAGTCTCATTCTTTGTGGGTAACCCTGTACAACATAGTTGCAAGCTTAAGAAGTGTTTAATGCTGACAGCTTCCTCTTTTGTTTCTTTGGCTAAAATGTGGATTTGTTTTCTTATGGAGAAACCACAAAGAAGATAATGGTTATTTAATGCTTTTATGATGGACAAAGCTTGTAAAAAAGAATTGGAGATGCCACTTTATAAATGGCGAGTAACTTGAAACTTCGTGTACAATGCCTTTAAGGCGTATTTAAAGCCATGAATATTTATTACTGCGTTTAGTGTTGAACTCTGGTTAAACTACAGAGTTTATTATCACTAACCCCATCTATACACGCATATTTTAACCTATAAATGCAAATCTAAAGGGACTGCCACGAATTTTTTAAATCATCCGTTTTTATAAAATGCCTTGAATTAAAATGCGAAAAACCGTTGCCTCGGGTTTCATATATTTTATCAAAAAGAGACAAAAATTACCGAAATGTGTTCGAAAACTCTCGTAACAGTCTCTTAAATTAAACTTTTTAAAGCCAGTTTAAGAACATTACATTGCTTTTCTCAATACATAGGTTAAACTGAATGAATTTTATGTTTTAAAATAGAAAATACAGGGATCGACCAAACTGCATTTGATATAATCCTAAATAGACGTAAATTGGAAAATCACCTAGAAATAATATAACTAAAAAGGGAGTGATCGCGAAAAATGAAAGCGGTTATAGGCTTAATGCGATAAAAAAGCGCTTTTGATCGCTACTAATCTTACTTCTATCTGTTGCGTCTATAAGGAGAAAATTGTTAAAGACGTCTCATACCGAATAACTTAGCGCCCATACAAATTCAGAAAATTGTAACATTCAACTTAGACCGTAAAAAATCAATTTAATTTCAAACAAATCATTCAGATATTACAACCTATAGTCATCGATTATATTTCGCCACATTTGTATATAGTTTATATTTTATAATATTTTTGATTTCTTTTTTTTTAAAGATATTTCACTAGCGCTGGATTTTCGAACATTCCTGGAAAATATGAAAATGTCGTCTTCATTATCAAAAATCCTCGAAACAGAAATAAAAGTAACTATCAGATCATAAAAAATAGAAAATATTATGAAATATTAACTAAATACGAATGCGTCGAAAAATTATCGATGATTATAGATTGTAATAAATGAATGATTTGTTTGGAATTAAATTGATTTTTTACGATCCGAGTTATATGTTGCAACTTTCTGCATTTGTATTGACGTTACGTTCTTCGGTATGAGTCGGTTTTAACAATTTGCTCCTTATAGACACAACAGATAGAAGAAAGATTAGCAGCGATCAAAAGCGATTATTTTTCGCATTAAGCCTATACCCCCTTTCATTTTTCGCGAANATGTTGTCAGTACATAATAAAATCTGGGGCACCTTAAACACAATAGAGAGCAGTACAAATGTACATATTAAACTATTTTTCTCCTTTAATGTCTAGGGTATTTAAAAAAAAAATAGAAATTAAGATAATGATAATGAAAAGCTACAATGTTTTACAAAAACGTTTAATTCTCAAAAATATAAAAAAATTTCTCCCGGAAAATACGTACGCCATATAGCTGTTTCTAAACGTTGCATTTCTATAAGGTTTGACGCCCATTTAAACCCTATACCTATTCTCTAAGGTCTTTTTCTAGGGGGGGGGGCGCCAAACTCCCCCCAGGCTATACACATATTCAGACCCCCCCAAGCCTTTATATGGTTACCCCAAGCGTTACCCAGGGTACTCATAGTTAGTCCCGCCGTTTACCCGCACTTGGTCGTATATAATTACAATTTTAGCTATTTTTCTCCATAAAAGTCGACCCGAAGCAACTTAGATTTAAGCTTAGAACATATAAGGGTTTCTCCAGAGTGTCCCAATCAAAAAATATATACATAGATACATCCTGTCTGCATCGGAATGAATTTGTCAAATTATAATTTTTATTCAAATCTATCAAGAGCTTGTATAAAACTTATACAACTTCATAATATCTTATAAGTTTAGCCCAACTAAAAAGTTCAGTGAAAACCAGAAAACTGTGGAATGGGAAGACGACATTAAATCACAAAGTGAAATGGGTTTTATGGTTATATACTGCCAAATGCTTCAAAAAAAAATTATTTCCCGGCTTCGTTGATTGACTGTTCCCATTTCTCCAAACACCACTCGATTGGTTATACACACTTTTGTGGATAAAAACTTTAGATTAAATTAAGATCAACAAAAAGAGAAGATCAAGCAGCGATCTCGATATCCACAATTTTATAAAGTTTTCAGCTCAGATGATATTTATTAAATGTATTTCCAGGCTGGAACTCGGGAGGAAGAAGTTACAGGTAAAAAAGCATAATTTTAAGTGACCCTTCATGGAAAGATGGCAATTCCCGATTCACAACTGTATCCTTAAAAGCTTTGTCTGATCAATTATTAATTGTTAATAATTTTAAAAACTTATTATTTTCAACTGTGGTTTTTCTAAAAAATTGACTCGCTCATTTCTATACAGCAGGAAAACATGAAGGACTTTTCAGAGTTAAGCATTTTTAAACCCAAAAAATGTACAATATCTTCCACATTTTTCATCAGATTAAGGTTTCAAGGGTACCGTTGTAAATCGGGCATTGCATTCTTTCCATGAAGGGTCATTTGAAATTACACATACAGACCCTTTAAAATTATGTTTTTGAGGGCATTCCCTTCAGAATAAACTTAAATTTTGATCTTGATGCTCTTTAAAATAGTCTTTACATTGTATATCGAGATCGAGGGCATTCCCTTCAGAATAAACTTAAATTTTGATCTTGATGCTCTTTAAAATAGTCTTTACATTGTATATCGAGATCAAGCATTCAAGATTAACAATATCCACACACGAATCCTCTGAGATTAGTTAGTTGATTTGAAATGTCGTCTTTTCTTTGAAGAAAACAAGAATTAAGTTTAAATACCCAAAGTACATAGGTTTTCAATGCATAGTTTATACATATTTACTCCTTTATAAACTGGACGTTTTAAAACTTATGTATTGCAATTGTAATGCTTCGTAACTTTTTTTATATTCTTGGAATTGATTTTTTTATTTTTAAATATTAAAACAAAAATTTAAAGATTAACTTGTTTTTAGATATGAAGCAAAAGATGTCGAAGGGAGAGTAGAGGGTAATTTTCATTCAATAATCTTTAAAAAATGAAAAACTCTTTTTATTTCTGACAACAAACCAATAACTTTCAAATAGAGGGAATCATTTACTTAATTTTGTATTATAACTTTATAAGATAAACAAATACAGAATTAACAGAAAAACGAGTTTTAGACTCAAGTTATAACTTTATTTAGTCTTAAAAACATGAGACGCAGAAAACCAGTGTAACCAGTGTCCGAATTTAATGAATTTGAGTCGCATCTTAAATCCGCCAAAAACTGGTTTTAATTGAGAGCCGGCTTAAATCTTGAAACATTTAATACACTTTTAAGTGGAACCAACCATATTTGAGCCGCGTCTCAAATTTAAGCCGCGGCTCAAATTCTTCGAATTCGGCCTCAGACCCAATTAACTTTATAAGTGAATCAATAAGTTACAACTTACAAGAAAAAGTATTTTTTTTTAAAACGACTTAAAATTAATACTCTCCAGTATTGCCATAATGTTGTCTTCCAATTCCACAGTTTTCTGATTATCACTGTATGCAAATTTATTTTCCTGGCATGCATTTCTTATTTCTTGGATATTAAAAAATGGTTGATTAAGCAGAATTATCAAAAATAATAAATCCTGTAAATGTTTTAGGAGAATACGGTTGGATCCGGGAAAAGGGAGGAATTGCCCGGATCACAAAATACACAGCTGGTACAGCTGGATACAGAGTTAAACAATACACTAGGTAAAAGTTAAACAGTACACTATGTAAGGTTAAACAGTACACTAGGTAAAGGTTAAACAATACACTAGGAAAAGGTTAAACAGTACACTAGGTATAGATTAAACAGTACACTAGGTAAAGGTTGAACAGTACACTAGGTAAAGGTTTAACAGTACACTAGGAAAAGGTTAAACAGTACACTAGGTAAAGGATAAACAGTGCACTATGTAAGGTTAAACAGTACACTAGGTAAAGGTTTAACAGTAAACTAGGAAAAGGTTAAACAGTAAACTAGGTAAAGATTAAACAGTACACTAGGTAAGGTTAAACAGTACACTAGGTAAAGGTTAAACAGTACATCGCTAAAGGTTAAACAGTGCACTAAGTTAAGATTAAACCAAGGATTGAAAGGCAAGGAAAGTTATTTCAGAAGTGTACACATCTTTTGTACTGCAGTGTACTGTCTCTGGGCGGTACTGTAAACACAAGACGGATGTCGAAGCCTGAAATGGGATCCATCTTTCACATAAAAAATCGATGAAATATTCTGGTCATAGGAAACTATTATGTGAACTATCAAAATTTTCAAAATTTAATGCTTTTAACCTCCTCGGATACTAAACGAACACTGATGCATCTATTTTTGTTTACAAATTCCACCCAAAGAGAACTGGTTTCAATATGTACGCAGAGTATACACGACCGCAATAAACTTTCCTTGCCTTACATTCTTGGATTTAACAGTACATCGATAAAGGTTAAACAGTACGCTAGATAAAGGCATTTAACAGTACATCACACATTAGGTATGTATCACAGACTTACATGATATATTTATACAGACTGCTAATCAGTTTTCATGGGATAGGCTAGGCTAGGCCTATAGGCATACCGGAACGACATGCTATATTCCCAGGGGCGTACGAGGGCTTTTGTTTAGGGACTAAGTGGTCGTGCACAATGGATGCGTTGTAGGAAATATCGCATCTTCTAGCCTTTAATACAGTATAATATTATGTATTTATAATAATTTTTTGCTTTCTTCGAAAATTCATTGAACCCAAAAAGGAAATTTGGGAGTTTTGTTCAACTATACTCCCTGGTAGTTGTATATATAATTTACATATTTAAGTACAAAAAACTAATTTGATAAAATACCATTTTTTAGAAAACCTATGATTAAAACAAATAGAAACGAGGACGAAAGAATTGGAATCGAATCATCAAGGTAAGAAATGAAATTGAAATTAAAACAAAAATGATTTTTTTTGCTTACGAAAATACAACTTTTAATGATTATTGCCACAAAGAATGGGAATCTTACAACAGAAATCAAATTATTAATAGAGAGAAGTGGTCAAACCAGGTTCGACTGTACAAACTAATGGTTTAACTGCAGGGCTGGGCAAATTTCTGTTAACGGAACGGAGGTTTTCGAAAATTAACGAAAGTTTCCATTAACAAACAGTAGAAACCATTAATTTTTAAACGCTAACGGACTGGATTAGCCGTTTTTGAAAGAAAAAAATTAACGGCTAAAAAGAAAAACGGAACGTATTTTTTTAAACGGTGAATTTCGTACTTTTTTCAACCTAGAATTGCATTCAAAAATAAAAATTTTTACGTGTTTTGAAGGTTTTAAATGTCGTCTTCTGTTTTCAAACAATTTCTTAACCGTTAACGGCTGCACCGTTAACGAAATTTTTTCGGAGCTTCGCGCCATTTATGATTTCATAATATATATATAAGTTAATATTGTACCGCTGAACGTTAACGGCGCAGCCTTTAACAATTTCTTAATGGAAATTTGTACAAAGTTAGCAATATATCCGTCAATTTTGAAAATGCAAAATGGTAGACCACATTTTGAAAATCTCAAGGCTAGGCGTTTTCGATATTAGATGTTTGAGTTGGAATACAGCGATAATTTTACTAGTGGAAAAATGCCGCATGGATCATAAGGACGATATAAAAGTGGTTATATGATTCCCATGTTTATTGGGACACCCTGTACCAAGCTGAAGTAATTATTTCTAACTAACCCTCTTCTTAGAATACCAGTAAGGCTACCAAACAGTAAATCTCTGCTAACAACCCTACCCACTACTAAACCACAGCCAACAACAACAACAACAACAACAACAATAACAACAACAACAATAACAACAACAACAACAACAACATCTCAAACAGCAAATGCAATAAATACAATAATCTCAACAACGGCTATGGATATATTTTCAACAGCTAAGCCCACAACCTCAACAAATGATCTCAAAACAACAACAACCACAATATCAACAGCAACAGCAACATCAGTTGAAACAACAACATTAGAACTATTTGATCCTCAAGAATTCTTAAAAAATCAAGCAGGTTTATAATTTTCTAATTTTTTCTGAATGAAGTAATTTTTTGGAAGAATCTATTATTTGGGCGCTAAGAGCACGGTTAATTACTTCTGCAATCTGTGTTCAATGAGCCTTAACTTTAGACCCTATTTTCATTTATTAATTGAAGATTTTTCATTTTTGCTATTTCATACTTTTTGCATTTTAAATGTTAACGTCTTTTACTCATTTTCGACAGATTTTGAATTAGAAATGAAGATATAGAACAGACAGGATATGCTTCGTTGTAGTTAGTTTTACGTGAGAAGCATCTTAAATTGTGTCATTGATTTCTTCTTTAAGTTGCGGTGCATGGAGGATTATGTTGTTTTTAACGATGTCTGAAAGCTCAAATTATCATAAATATTTATTTTATATTTTAAAAATATATTTGCTTTTTTTTAATTTTTATGTTTTAGATCTTTACATTGTTGGACCCATACCGTCATTTCTAAAATCAGGTGAAAATATTTAATCTTATTTTAAAATCTGAGAACTTTATTTTCATATTTCAAAAAAATAGTTTAATTCTCATAATTCTCTTCTTGTAGCTCATACTTCTCGGTTCTCCAACGTGCAGTACAGTACAGGACTATCCAGGTATAGTAAACAGTAAGCAGTACAGTACAGGACTATCCAGATAAAGTAAACAATAAGCAGTACAGTACAAGACTATCCAAGTATAGTACACAGTAAGCATTACAGTACAGGACTATTCAGGTACAGTACAAAGTAAGCTGTAAAGTGCAGGAGTATCCAGGTACAGTACATTGTAAGCTGTACAGTACATGACTATCCAGGTACTGTACACAATAAGCTGTACAGTATAGGACTTTTCAGGTAAAGAACAAAGTAAGCTATACAGTACAGAACTGTCCAGGTATAGTACAAAGTAAGCTGTACAATACAGGACTATGCAGCTATAGTACACAGTAAGTTGTACAGTACAGGACTATATAGATATAGTACATAGAAAGTTGTACAGTACAGGACTATCCATGTAAAATACCCATTAAGCCATAAAGTGCAGTTATAGTACACAATAAGCTGTACAGTAAACGACTATTCAGATATTGTACACAATACGCTGTACAGTACAGGACTAATTAGGTAAATTACACAATAAGTTTTACAGTACAGGACTATACAGGTATAGTACAGAGTAAGTTGTATAGTACAGAAATATCCATGTAAAGTACCTATTAAGCTGTAAAGTGCAGGTATAGTACACAGTAAGCTGTACAGTACAGGACTCTCCCGGTATAGTACGCAGTAAGCTCAGTATAGGACTATCCTGATAAATTAAACAATAAGCTTTACAGTACAGGACTATCCAGGTATAGTAAACAGTACAGAACAAGATTTTTCAGGAAAAGTAGTCAGAGCCTAAAACTTAAGACATCGATGTATTTTTAAAGAAATATAATTTTATATGGTTACCTTTATTTTCTATTTCTTAATGTATATCTACACAAATGTTTATAACCAAAAAAGGAACTTCGGGAGTATTATTCATCGATATTCTTTTAAAGAGTTTGAAGGGTTACGAGGACAAGTAAAATCAATTTTATATAGATTATAAATCAAGGAAACAAGTTTTTTAGCCGACATGTTTAATTTTTTGCAGGGCAATGAGCTTTCTGCAGGAACATAAGCTTTTAAAACAAAAAAACTTTTGGGTCCAAAAATATGTTGTATACATGTAAAAATGTCTTCTTTTTTATCTAAAAATATAAATCCAATCAGAAAAGTTAGGAATCAGGGTTCAGTCATGTGTTTGTTGTCTATTCTGAACCAATAGAAATATGGCAGTAACATCTATCTTTCTATCTATCTCATTATCCAATTAGTGTTATAAATCCTTCAATCGGCGCTGTCAGTAAATGGAAATATTTACTCCTGAAACTATAGTGCCGGGCCGCGACTCGGTCATTTTTAATTATTTTACAAGGATGATTAGAAGCATTGTTAGAACAAATTAAAAATTTTAATTAATCCATCGTAAATTTTAAAATAATTAAATTTATTTTCAGAGAGGAGGTTCAACGAACTGGGAGCAATTTTATTCCATGAAAAAGATTTAAGAATTATTTAAGAAGCAACATTTTATGATTTTTAGTACGTGCAATATATAAGAGAAAATATATAGAATTATAATTAAACAGATTGAATAAAACAAGCTATTTTTTGTTGTTGCTTTTATACGTACATGGTGTCTCATATTGTCAATCGGTCTTAATTACGATTTTTGGGACTAATCAGAAAGTTTAAGAAAAATGAATCATTTTGAAAAATTGAATAAGGCTAATACAAGAATTTTCTTGCGGAAAATGCTAGGTTTTTATTAGGAGTATTATAGGTTAATTTTGGCGTTAAAAAGATATGGGACGCTCTGTAAGTACTAAGTGCTTATACAGCAATAATTTTAGCAACTTCGTCTAAATCATTGTGCATTATACTGAATTCAGTGTGCATCTTATTTTTTTTAGGCTACCTTTATCCCCGCCCTAACCCCCCCCCCCCCCCCTAATTAAGTAGAGCTCATATAGTATCTACTCAGTAACAATTAAAAATAAAGAAATCAATAAAAGTATCAATCAATCAATCAATTAACAAATCAATTAATCAGCATGTCTTGTACATTTTTTATTTGTGTTAAAGCTACATAATTATAGAATCACAAGTTTAAGCAGTTAAAATAATACAATTTATTTAGATTATTTGCGTAAAATTAATAATGTCATAATGATCACAAGTATGAATTAAAGAATTAATAGAGATATAAAATACAAAATAATCAAGAGTGACTTTTTTGATTTAATGGGAATTCAGAATTTAAGTTTAATTAAATCAAAATAATCCAGTGATTTCTTTATTTGTATTGCAGAATGCAAATGGTAAGCAAGCTTTATAAGAATAAAAGCTTGTATTTTAAAATTTATATTTGACATTGACTTAAACTATAATATGTTTAAATTTTGCAAAAGCATAATAAATATATCTTTGTAACATGATTGATTTTCTTTACTTAAAAAAAGCAAATTGCAGGATTGTCGTTATAATGAGCAAAATTAGTTTGTATAGATACAGTAAGAACCAGAATAATGCAGGATCAAATCCGCCGTCGTAAATTTGTTAAATAAACGAAGACGAATTTCATTCAACTTCAGTGGAAACACAAAAATGTGGAAGACGACATTTAAACAATCTCTTATGTACGGATGTTATCAAGCAAATAGTTTCACCAGATGGATTGAAAATCAATCTATTAAATGAAAAAGCCCTGGGCACACTGCACAATTGCTTTGTATCATATTTATTAGACATAAATTGTGTTTGAAGTCGTCTTCCTTTTCCACAGTTTTATAGGTCTCGCTGTATATTCTGTATATTTGAACATTCAAAATTAATACTGAATACAAGTTTAGAACTGATAAATGATCACTGGATAGTCTCGATGAAGAACAAGCACAAAAAGAAGAAAAATCTGTGGTATATGAAAAGACGACCCAGCACTTCTGTCGTTACACAGATCTTTATGGTTACAGTAACAAACAGCCCCGTTACAACCAGTCCTACGCTGCCAGGCCCCTGAAGAAAATGTATTATAAAATATTTTTAAGATCTTTCTGAGTAACAATGAGTAAAATATATTTGTCTTTCTATTAAAAAATAGATTTTATTTCTGTAAGCTTTTTTTCCCTTCAGCTGCTGCATGAATCCGATTTTTTCCAAATTTGAAAATATTTTTGCAGATTTTTCCGGTGCACTTTTATTCGGATACTTTTTTATAATCATCAGCCAGAAACTTCAACATAGAGGGTCGAGTTCAGAGGGAAAATTGTTTAGTTTAGTCCTTTGCATAATAGATATTCATAAAACTGGACATGGATTAAAAAGTGGGAACCCCAGGGTTTATTTCGATACCGATGGAGGATTGAAGGGGGGGGGGGTGAAACCTCTACCCCCCCTTCTGCTGCCTGGAAGCCATCTTCCGGTATTTTATATTCCTCGTGGTTACCGTATAAAGATATTGTGCGGAATAAATTAAAGAAATTATTCCTGGAGCAAAATTTATAGATCACGGAATCCATTTTTACATCACTTAAATATCCAGGTTAAAGAGACGTGTAGTTCTAGTGGTCCTACATTATAAGAATGGCATGTCCGATTCACATTCGTACCCTAGTTATGGGTCAGTCACTTTTTATAGAAAAAGCACAATTAAAAGAAAAAAATACTTTTGAGCTCTTCTTATTCATTCTTGGCCAGACAAAAGTTTTAAAGGTACCATATTGTGATTTAGCAGATTCTGTCCAAACGTTTTTTAGATTTAATTAAAGTTTTAAGAGATTCAATCAAAAATGTTTAAGATTCAATCATCTTTTTACGAGATTCTATTAAAATTTCATGACATTCAATCAAAATATTTTGGATTATTAATAAGATTTTATATCATAGTTTATCTATTTTATTGATATGATAAGTTCACAAAAACACAAAAAACGGTATTTTATGCCAGAAATTGAATTATACGGACTCCTAATCGGTATAGGCCGAAGGGACTTCTTTTATTTCCGATCGGGTTTTTTTCTAAATGTATTGATTGGCCTACCTAATGCTGGTCCCAGGATCGGAACTCTAAACCACTCAGGAGCTTGATTCTGAAATATTTCAACATTAAAAGTGTCATGAAAGGGACAGTTCAAAGTGTTTACATCATAAAACTGTACGCATTCCCCTTATTTGTTCACATGTAAATGTACTGCAGAGTGTATAACTAGGGTGGTTGGATCTATAGCTACCTGTCCGTGTATATTAGCCTGCGTGTACACTTAGGCCAGTTTACTGATAAAGGATATTAAGAGATTATGGCCTGTTCATACAGTACTAACATAAAATATTCAGTACCGCTTTCGGGGTACAAGTGTATAGGGAGGTTTTGTATCTTAGATTTTACTTAGTTTTCTCAGAACCCGTTCTCTCTATAGATAGTAGTCGTGAAGTTCACGTACTTTGTGGGACGATAGTTTGGCTGCTAGATGGTTTTCGTATGAATTATCTATCTATCAGATAAGAATTTTGCGTGAGACATCTAGCGGCCAAATTATCGTCCCCCAAAGTACGTGAACTTCACGACCACTGATTAAACATTATTACAGAGAGAACGAAATCAGAACTGCTCATTAACGATGAAATATTGCTTTGTAAAAGATTGCAATAGTACGTCTAATAGATCACTGATTCCAACTGATTAAAAAGTTAAAACCCCTTTAAACGGACTCTCATAGGAGCAGCCCTCCATGGTTAAAAAAGGACATGACGAATTCACAACAGTGCCCTTTATACCCGGCCTATATCTGCTTAATAATGTAGTCGCAAGTCATTTTCCAGAGAAATTAAAATAATCTACTTTCAAAGAGAAAATTACTTGAAGAGCTTTAAGGGTATCATTGTGAACCGTACATCCCTCTCTATTTAATGGAAAAGTTGAAAATATGTCTACAGTTTTAAAACCTATTTCTGCTTAAATAAAAATGGATATTTTCATGAATCACCACTGAGCACTGTTGTCTACAGATTGGCCTTAAACAGTGGAGTACATGGCGTGGACAGTTAGTAAAGGATTAGTGTACAGCATTATTCTAAATACTATAACCTCGTTGGTACAAACCTATTTATAAGAAGACGTGGATGTTATGAACTTTCCCAAAGTTTGTACAAACCTGTTTATATGAAGGTAAACTGTAGCGTGTACAAACCTGTTTATATAAAGGTGTACTGCAGCGTGTAAAACCCTTTTTATATAAATAATAAAGGTGTACTGCAGAGTGCAAAAACCTGTTTATATGAAGGTGTACTGCAGCGTGTACAAACCTATTTATATGAAATTATACTGAAAGCGTGTACAAACATGTTTTTATGAAGGTGTACTGCAGTGTGTAAAAACCTATTTATATGAAGGTGTACTTAATCGTGTGCACACCTGTTAATATGAAGGTGTATGGCAGCGTGCACAAACCTGTTTATATGAAGGTGTACTGCAGCGTGTACAAACCTATTTATATGAAATTATACTGAAAGCGTGTACAAACATGTTTATATAAAGGTGTATTGCAGTATGTAAAAACCTTTGTATATGAAGGTGTACTGCACCGTGTGCAAACCTGTTAATATGAAGGTGTACTGCACCGTGTACAAACCTTTTTATATGAAGGTGTCCTGCAGTTTGTACAAACCTGTTTATATAAAGGTGCACTGCACATGTACAAACCTGTTTATATGAATGTGTACTGCAGAGTGTATAAACCTGTTTATATTAAAGTGTACTGCAGAGTGTAATGCAGAGTAAACAAGGAAAGCACTGTGAACAGGATTAACAACATGGATACACAAAAAAACAATGAGATGTATAAGAGGGGAGAGGAAGGGTAGGATTTATTACATTCTAGTGTGATTTATTAGAACAGCTCTAGAACTAGTTTTTTTGTAAACAAACACCTTTGTAAACAATGACTGCTAAGGCCCAAATCTATATAAGAAAGTCGCAGGAAAAGTTTCTGGAAAAAAATCTGGAAATTTGTTGAAATCCTAGGACAAAATGTTACTGGAAATAAAGTCCTGAGCTTTAGATTCCTTTTTTTCTAAAATAATATGGGGGCCGCCAATTAAGTCTCAGAATTAAGATCACAGGAATTAAAGTCCTGAAGAAAAAAGTCCTGTCTTGAGAAAATGAGGTAAAGTCTTAAAAGTTTTCATAAAACGGACTTTTCTTCTATTAATCTGCATATTCAATATTGCCGTTTTTAATATCAAGTCCCTGTTTCGCAAACATCCTTTGCCCTGCATTTTCCACTGTAATAGTACTTTTTTCCGCGAAAGTTTTTGTATAAAATCATATTGGAACCAGAAAAAGAGTCCTAGAAAATAAAGTCTCAAAATGGTAGGGTACTTTATTTCTAGAGATTTTTTATTTCATGATTTTTTTATACAGCACTTTTTTAGTTCCAAAATTTAGGGCCCGACCCTCTTACCCTGCTCAGCTAAATACCAAGCAATAGTTAAAGTGTCGTTTTAATACGTCAGCGTAAAATGTAAACAAGCCCTATCCCCCTCTCCTTGGTTACAAACACTAATTGAGAAAAAAGCTGTGACACAAAAAGATAGCTGTTGTTATATAAAACAGAATTATTTTAAAGTTTTGGAAAGTTCAGTTATATATTATAGCTTCTATAAGCAGTATATGGGACTCCAGAGCTCGCGATTAAAGAAATTTGGGAATATAAGACTCAGGTCTTAGCAGTCAATGAGACTAATCCAAGACTCGAGTTTTCTGATTTAAGTTGCAACTAATTTTCCACATAATTGGGTTTATTATATATTTTATTTGGAGGATTTTCATGGTTGGAATCGGATTCCGTGATTTGACATAGAATAAGACTGAACAGTGAGACCAATTCTCCACTAAAACCAACGAAGCTTTTGAATTACGAGTCAGGGATCATAGATTATTCTGTTTTTGCTTTAGTTTGTGCCAATACAAAAGTTTAATAATCTCAATTATAGAAAACTTGCTGCGTTACCCTTGGTATTTTACAACAGCAATTTTTCAACAAAAATGCATATTTAGGTCAAAACTTTTGTATCAGATAACGATAATCTTCAATGCATTAATATCGAGAGTGTAAACTTTTGATTTTAAGCGAACTATTTAATCAGATATTATACGATCTCTCATTGGCCAAGCACCAATTTTTTTTGGTGGCTTCTGAGTGGGTAAACTTTTAGAGATATTTAAAAGGAATAAAATAAAAAAACGCTGGTTAGAACTTTCTCAAGGGATAAACAATACAAAAGTTTACATCTCTGTGTACATAAAGTTAATCTTATTTCCTGATAGTACAGTATGTACGGTATGTACAGAATGTAATTGAAGTGCTGAGTTACAGAAATCTCTGTCGTTACAGTAACATACTGCACCATTACACCCAGGCTACAGAGAGAGACAAAATAAGGTTTTTAAATAAGACTTTGTTAAGATATTTCAACAGAGAAACAGATTTTCTACATTTTAGCAACCTGAGTGTCATTCCTGGGAAATGATCGTTCTTTTTTGGGAACGAACTGAACGGAATGGAATGGAACGAACGATTTCAACAAAGTATAAGAACTCGCCCAGCTCAAGGGCTGTGCGTCGCTCCTGGGGAACGATCGTTCTTTCACCGGAACGATTGTTCAGCTTTCGTGAGAACGAACGGAACGATCACTATTAAAAAGGTATCAACACGCCGTTGCCCAGCTCCAGGTCTAAGAGAACAGATTTAAAAGATAAAAGGATTAAATTTTCAAATTCAATATGTTCTTTTTTTAGAAGTGTAAACATTATTTGATTTTCTAATTGAGGGTGGAAGTCGATTTTGCTATTTGTATGCCTTTACCTAAACTTGATATTCTAACCATTGTTAAAGTAAAATTTGAAAAGCTAAAAATAAGTAATTCATGTACAAACATTCACATGAATATAAATAGTTTTTTTCCTATTTCCATTAATCAGATTTCATGCTAGAAAACAATATGGCGCTTTCCAGAAATTAGTTGAAAACAATTTAATGCGAATTATTAGAATAATGCGGGCAATTCCATCTAGTATCGTGGGGAGGATACTGCATACTTGCATGCTTGCAAAATAGGCATTCAGGATCAATTAGAACAATTTCGCATATTGTTGCTAAATTAATGGTGCACGAACGTTTTACGTTTTTGGTTAAAACATAGATTTTTATCAATGAAAATTATTTAAAATGCTTTTAAAGAGTTTTTTTATATAATTTTGCCAAGTTCCTTTCTTCCATAGGGTCCGTATGCAGGACCCCTTAGCACTGCTTTAAACCAGTCCGACGCCTGGTTCTGAAATTGTATATTTTAGGCCTAAAGCTTAAGCTCACTAAATCATTGTTCTACGATAAACTATAGATTTCGAAATTTTGAAAATAGTGTATAATTAACATAAATTCGTTTATTTGGCAGTCATTCATTTTTTGTCAAACTTATGCGATTATTTGTCTCTTATAGGCCAACCGTCCAACTTTTGCCGCCTATAAATAAAGTTTTTTTTTTAATTTTGAAATTATAATTTAAAACTTTAAAAATCGCTTTTTCGGCAGCAAAAGTTGGATAGCTGCCAAATAAACCATGTTTTATTCATATCAAAAATCAGACTGCAGTTTTGAATGATGCCGAGAAAGAAACATCGCTAGAGACATTTTTCTAAAGAATAAAACATTAAACCATGCAAACAATAAGATGATAACTAGATATATCCTGAACAAAAACTTACAAAAGTTCAATTCTTTAATCTTTTTTCTGGGTCAATATTTCAGTGTTCGATATTTGAATTTAAAATGAAAGTTTTTAAACTTTAAATACGAAATATGCTTAGCAGTTTTAAAAACTTGAATGAAAAAATATTTGATTAACTTTCTAGTAGTTTTTTGACTAAGGATGATTCATAAATGAATGAGAACTATTTGTTTTGACACTTCAATAAAATGCAAGCTGTCGATATTTTCCTTTGTCCTTTTTAAGATGAGAAATCTAGTTTGGCCAATGAAAAATTTTTACAAAAGAGACAAAAAATTATAATCAAACTTTTTATGAAAATGCTTTAAATTCATTTAAGGTTTTTTTTTAGCTCTCTCTGAATGATAATAATTTATAGAGTGCCTTTTAAAGGGAGTGTTTTGTAAGCAAATAATAACAATTGTAATAAATATTATTCAGTTAATTTTCACGAACACTCCCTTTAAGATAAAATTAGAAAAGTGTTTTTACTAGATTTACTAGATTTACTAGATTTACTAGATTTACTAGATTTACTAGATTTACCTACTTGTTTTACTGCATTCCATTAGAAATTAGAAATTAGATGCTTCATATAATCCTTCTCAAAAAATGTATGATTTTTTAATTAAAATGTTTTAAAAAGGTTCAAAGAATTAAAACCTGGGCTTTCAAGATGTTTTAGAAACTTAAAACTTTGGTTATTGTTAAAAAATGAATGCATAAAACAAATATCTTGCTACAAACTTTTTTTTGAATCCTCTTTGTTTATTGGAAAAGAGATATTCTATACTTACAATTGCAGATACAGTGAAACTTTTTAAAAATCTTCTTCAAAAGAGCATTTAAAATTGGTTCTGTCTTGTAATGAGGAAAATACAAAAAATGTATTTACAAATAATAGGTTTTAGACAAATAATAATACGTCTAGTATAGATTTCTTTTAAAATGTCAGAGAAATCTTATTTCGATTGATTTCAAACTTGAAGCTAGAAAATAATAAACATGCATTTTTGAATTATCTACATAATATTGAAAATACTGATAAATATATTTCTTTAAAATATTTCTTAAAACATTTTTGACAACTGGAAAATGAAAAAAGCTGAAATCAGTAAGAACGGAGAAAGACCATATGAAGCTGAATCGTTACAGAAATCATAATTATTGCAATAGCACATGAACCCGTTGCAGCCGGGCGTACGACCGTACGGCCCCCGTGCAGGGCCCTGGATATTGGCTTTAAACCAGTCGGGTGCCTGGTTCTGAAAATAAAGTGCGGGAGTTAACAGGGTGTCCCAAAAAAATAAATTGCAATCAAAAAGTTGAATTTGAAATGAACAAAAATGACTTGATATGATAGTATTCGTACCACCATGCACGCTGTTTTTTTCAGATATCAAACATTTTTGCGACAAAACTAAAATTTTTGGGACACCCCGTGTGTGCAGACAAAACTATGTCTGTGCACTGAGAATAATTGGGACACTTTCAAATAACAACAAAACTTACCTCATAAAGTTGTTTAAATAAACATTGATAAAAAGCATTTTTTACAATTCCTTTGGCAATAAAGTTTAATATTTTTAGTATTTCAATGTAACAAAATTTGTTCTGCAAAAAAATGCTTTTTATGAATATTTCAGGTAAACTTAAGTGTTAAATTTTATTAAAAAATGAATAACTCTCTAGCAGATTAACTAAATATCTCGTCTTTTAAGAAAAGCAGAATATTCATAAAAACTTCAAAAATGTTATATTTAAGTACAATTGACAACATAATGTTAGATTTTAAATCGCCTTTTATACAGCCATTACTTTTTCAATCAATGAGGAAGTTTTTGGAAAACTCTAAACATGTAATTTTCTAAAAAAGTTTTTATTTTTTCTGAACCTTAAAATATTTAGCAACGAAAACACATTTTTGAAGACTTTTTATAATTTAAATAAAACTGCTAGAAAGTTATTTAATTCGATATTTTTGAACAAAAAGATTAAAGATTTTACATCAAATCGGCGCAAACATAAAAAACATATATATTGTTAATAATAATATACATATCTGAATATAAACATACACACATATTATTTTTTTATGCATATATGCAGTTATGGAAACATTGAAAGAAGACTTAATGATAAATATATTCTTTTGTTTACTTTCATGAGAGGCAAATTTATCGACACTTGTAAACAATCAAATTTATATAAAAATATGTTATGGAAAATATTTTCTAGACATTTAAAAAATCTGTTGTTGTTAAAAAAATTCAAAATTAAGATTACTTTTAAAGTAAACATACCTCTCGACTTTTGATGAAAGTAATAAAAAAAAAATTTTACAAAAAAATATCTTCTTTCAACTTTTAATTTTTGATTTTTCAAATATGTTTGACAGAGACACCAAAAGCTGAGTAATAAACATTTGAAAACATTAAATCAATTAAAGAGACATAAAATAATAATGCGCCATTTTACTCTCTAAAAAATATTTTTTATGTAAAATTAAAACGATGTAAAGTTTCCCCCAACACCAATCACGTGGTAAAACTTAATTATTTATCTCTAGTCAAATTCATACCTCTGGAACACAGTTAAAGGTGACTGTTCCTGCCTGGGGGGTTGTGGAACACACCCAGGAGTTGACCGGCTGGGGCCAGGGTGTATTGTCCTCTTGTGTTCCAAATCTACAAATATTAAAATTTAAACATTCTTCTTCTCAAAATACTTCTTTCTGAATATTTGACTTGACATACGATTTTCAACCCGATATTTTCTGCAGTACTTCACATTGAACCCAGGAAGGTTTAAAAAATTATTCCTAAAAATTTTTTAAAATTCGAATTTAGTAAATTCTCCAAAAATTAACCGAAAAATCGGCAATCCTTTTCAATGTTATAAATGTTAATGTACGAAAAATGCAAACATTAGAAAAATCAATAAATAAAATCTAAGATTATTTCTAGAATAAGGACTATTAGGCTCAGGTAAGGGTTGATTAAAACTATTAAATATCTAAAAGAATGAAAAAAAGAGGCGTATTCAGGATTTTTTTTCTGTCCAGGAGGGGGGGGGGCTCAGCACCTGTTGAGGCCAAAAAAACTGAAAATCATAGATTTCATTAAACCAGAGAGGGACTGAGCCCACAACCCCCCCCCCTGAATAAGCCTTTAAAGTGAAAAGGAGTTTGAATTATTGGGGGGGGGGATGTAGGGGAGTTGGAGGAGATAGCGAAGAAGGTTGGGAGGAGAGAGGGTGAGTTAGAGATTAGCACGTTCGATTTTTTTCATTTTGTTCGTTTTTTCATGATCATTCAAAAATATTTATTTTGTTCGTTCCCAAAATTATCGTTCATTTTTAACTATTTTTTTCGTTTTATGAATGAACGATCGTTCAGTAAATCGTTTATTCAGTAAAATCCTTAGTTCAGTAAATTGTTCTTTTAGTTTAAAAAAAAAAATTTTTTTTCAAAATTTCTTCAAAAAAATCGTTCGTTCAACGTTTTTCAAAAAGTTTGTTTAAAAATCGGTCGTTCAGTAAAATTCTTTCGATCAGTAAAAACCCGATCGTTTTCTCCAGCTAGTTCGAACGATTTAAAAACATTCGGTATTTTTTCGTTTGTTTAAAAAAACACATTTAATTTCTCTGAACGATCCTTTTCGTTCGTTTATCGTTCGTTTTTTCCGATACAACAGTGGGTATAGAGCAAGATCTAACCTTAATGTTTTCTTCTTTTTCTCCCATTTTAGTTCCTTCCTGCGGTCAAAGCTGATAGGAATCTCAATCTCGTGAGCTTCAGAGCAGTTTACTCTACAGTATTATATTTTCTAATATTTTTCTGATATTTTGTTGATAACTTGCTCTCATCTTGCTGTTATTATTCTTTTCTGATGTTTTTCTAAATTTTTCTAGCATTTTCTGACCTTTTTCTACGATTTTTCTGATATTTTCTAACTTTTTCTAATCATTCCCTGAGATTTTTCTGAGATTTTTCTGATATAATTATGATATAATTATGATATTACCTAAAATTAAAATCTGCATCTATACTATGGAAGCCGACAAGACAAGCTAGGTCTGGGGTTGGACCCTCTGTAATCATTAGTTCAATTCATTTCGAATACTGTTAAAAACGTTTGTCATTTTGAATGAAATGTTCCTAATTTCGATTTAAATGTTTGTAATTTTGATTGAAATGTTAGTAATTTCGAGTTAAATGTTTGTAATTTTGAATGAAATGTTCGTAATTTCGATTTAAATATGTTTGTAATTTTGAATGAAATGTTAGTAATTTCGAGTTAAATGTTTGTAATTTTGAATGAAATGTTCGTAATTTCAAGCTATAAGTTTGTAATTTTGAATGAAATGTTCGTAATTTTGTATGAAAAGTTGAAATATTGAACGAAATGTTCGTAATTTTAAATAAAATATTTGTCATTTCTAATGAAATGTTCGTAATTTTGATTATAATGATCGTGGTTCTGAATAAATTAGTTCTTAATTTCTGAATGGAATGTCGTAATTTCGAATTAAATGTTTGTAATTTTGCATGAAATTTTTGTAATTTTAAATGAAATGTTTGTAATTTTGAATAAAATGTTCGTAATTTTGAATAAAATGTTCGTAATTTTGAATAAAATATTCGTAATTGTAAATGAAATGTTTGTAATTTTGAATGAATTGTTCGCAATTTCTAATTTCTAAATTTATAAATAATTTTGTAACTTCAAAAGGAATATTTGAAATTTCTCCTCTAAACGTCCGAAGTTGAAAAGCGGGATACTCATAAACTGTTGCTCAACTTGCCAATAACTTTCGTTTAAACATATTTATTCTAAATACCGATATAAATATCAAAAGTAATAATTAATATTTATAAAAGAAAAAAAATTTGACTCATTCATGCAGAAATTAACGATTAAAAAAACAGCGATCGCAAGGGTACTTGGTAAGGTCGATTAAAAAAATTTGATTGTTTATATTTATTACTTATTGATTATCATTTGCTTGTTTTATTATTTGCTTGTTTGATTATTTGATTGATTGATTGATTGATTGATCAGTACTATACCTGCACCCACAGTAAACATTTTATTGATTGGTTCTTGAGACAAAACATAAGGCAGGGTTAGGTAACCTTGAAAACAAAACTATTATTTTCAAATGGGCTGAATTTTTTTTCTAATTCTTCCGAAAATCCTCGCCCCGCACTAAACAATTTTGAACTAATTATTAAAGTTTCAAGAAATGTAAGAATAAAATCTGGGGAAAAATAGACTGAAAAATTCCGTAAAATTTTAGATAAATGAAAAGTTTGCATTATGATATAACTTACACTTGTTTTGCTTTTTACAAAGATCCCTTTAATTTCATATGCTTAATTATTCATACTTTTAGGTTTGTTTTAAATGCATGAAATATCAAGTTATCAGCATCAAAATAATAAGCTTAACAAATACTTTTGTTTACAGCAGTTTTTACAATGTAAACAAACTTTTGTTTTTAAGATTAACAAAATTTAAATTCAAATACCAAAATATATCACAAAGCAACGAGCATCCATTGTTATGTTGTAGTTCGTCTTTAAACCATTTTAAAGCTCAGTCCTCTGAAATATATTTAAATCACTAACATAAAACAGAAATATAGAATTTAAATTAAAGAATTAAATTAAGGAAAGGATTTGCTGCAACAAACTCAAATTCAATAATCCTTATATCTTAGCAACCTGATGGTGTAAACCTTTGATATTTCAAGCTTAGACTTTTTGATCAAATTAAATTCATAGTTTGAATAACACAGGTCTAAGACATCGGGTTGCAAAGATATACGGATTAAAAAATCAGAGTTTGTGGCAAAAAGTCAGTTCCTTCGGGCAAAAGTTATTTATTTTAACGTTAAGTAAAAATTAAATTATAAATGTAAAAATAAGAAAATAGAACAGAGTTTATTTTTGAAAAGTATTGTTTGTCAAGAAACCCGTCAGCTCTAACACGAAACAAACTAATAATGTAATAAAACTTCTTAATCAAGGAGAGAGTATTTTAATGTTTTAAAGAAATAATTAATACAATTCGTTTTGCGCGTAATTTTTTATATTGTTTAGTGCCATATTAGGTTTGAAAGCACTATTTTGTGAGAACAATTTGTTGGCACTGAATTTGCTTTATACAATTTTGCTAACGGTGCAAAACAATTTTGTGTAATGATTTTTCAGTTTTTGCAAAAACAGTGGCGCCTAAAGGAGGAGGGGGGGGGGACTATTGTCCCCAAAACAAAATTAAGGACGCAAACCTTTAATTTGATTTTTCAGCAGATTTTTAAAGATTTTGCCAAAGGCTGTTATTGATCAGTAAAAAGTTTAGTGCACTTTTAAGTCATTTTTTTTTGGGGGGGGGAATGCATGTTTTGGTAGGGGGATACAGTCACATACACAAAAATAAGGAAAGTCGCCAATATTTCTAAAACGCGTCCGTTCGTTCAATTTCTGTGCTTTTTTCATAAGCGATTATTTAAGTTTGTTAACTATCGAAAACTTAAAGGTTTTTGCTCTTCGTTAACGGAATATTTAGTTAATCTAAACCCCTTCCCCTCGTTAACAGAATATTTAGTTAATCTAAACCCCTTCCTCTCGTTAACGGAATATTTAGTTAATCTAAACCCCTTCCCCTCGTTAACGGAATATTTAGTTAATCTAAACCCCTTCCCCTCGTTAACGGAATATTTAGTTAATCTAAACCCCTTCCCCTCGTTAACAGAATATTTAGCTAATATAAACCCCTTCCCCTCGTTAACAGAATATTTAGTTAATCTAAACCCTTCCCCTCGTTAATGAATATTTAGTTAATCTAAACCCTTCCTCTCGTTAACAGAATATTTAGTTTATCTAAACCCCTTCCCCTAGTTAACAGAATGTTTAGTAAATCTAAACCCCTTCCCCTCGTTAACAGAATATTTAGTTAATCTAAACCCTTCCCCTCGTTAACAGAATATTTAGTTAATCTAAACCCCTTCCCTTCGTTAACGGAATATTTAGTTAATCTAAACCCCTTCCCCTCGTTAACAGAATGTTGTTCATACCTACATCAGACTCAACTTTTTATCGTTTACTATATTTTTTATCGTGTTGATTTATAAAAATAATTTGTATAATAAAAAACTTTTGCGTGAAATATTGGATTTTTCATCTGAACCTGGATAGTTCAGTTTCCAAGAAAAGGACCTCAAATCAATTTTGATGATTGAAAAAGTTTTTATTTAATTTTTGTCAAAATATATATGGTCTCCCTTATAATAGAAACTTAAGAAGAACAAAGTTCCTCAGAAAAATGATCAACATTTTTTTATCTTTTCAAATATCTTCAGAAATAATTCAAATATATAAAAATTTATCATCATGATATTACTGTACATTTCATATTTTTTATGTCATTATTGTTATCATTATCTTTCTTATCATGATAATTATTATTCATATTCTTATTAATAATAAATATTATTATTATGAGCGTGTGTTTTCTTGTCTGTTGACAACAAAGTTTTAATTGTATTATTATTCCACCAGGGACCGAGGAGAGGGAGGACTTGGCAGCCAGAAAGCTCTAGACAATAATTAACCACGTTCGGGCATCTACATATTGCATATATATATAAATATATCTTTCTACAAATAAGCTCAGAACATTATTCTATTGTTTATCAAAGAAAGATTGTATCTATACAATATCTATTTGTTTGTAGGTTTGTTTGATTGTTTGTACCTTTCTTAAAAGCCTCAAAATGGCTACACCTTATACATACGTAAGTCACATTTTTAAGAATCTGCCAAATCACCAGCTTAATAGCGAAGAAAGAAAAGTTTTGCTTAATAAAAAATTTGTTTTATTTGCACCGATTGAAACAGAAAAATCTGCTAAACCTTAAATTGTTAAAGAGACAATTAAAGGTTATCGTAATTTTCAGGTTTGTTCCGTATTTGCTGATACAAATACCTTGTAACGTATGTTAAACTTTCTCGGGCACAGTTTATATCAATTTCTCGACATAACATCGTATAGAACCTCACTTTCACTTTACCTTAACATTCACTTTAATTCTGGAAATGTATGAAGAAAAGAATGGCTGCAGGTAAAAGTCAATCGATAAAAGAATTAAATATTGTAAATGTTGAACAAAATATTTCGTGCACGGTTTCACTTAATATTGATATTCTATGAAAAGAGAAAACTCAGTTGTTTGAAACCAAGAACCAAGAACTTAGAAAATAGAATTCTAATAGTTTCAAATTCAACCATCCCAACCTTTATAGCGTTTTTTGATTCCAAGAGCCTTACTTTTTTCAAATAAGCTTAAAGGTTTGTTGATAATAATTATCAATTATTATTATTTTTCTTAGTGATTTTTAAGTCTTGATATTATTCTGGGTTGAATTTTATATTCTTCAAAAAAAAAACTTGTTAAACAATTGCGAAGAATTTTCTAGTTTTTATTATTATCCAACAAAATAATTTATTATTACAAAGAATCCTTTGAAAATAGTACGTTTCTAAATAATTTTCTAGGTTGATAATATAATTAAAGAGTTAAGTAACATATTTTTAAAAATAATTATCTTATTTCTATCTGATTATAAGAATCGTCGGTTTAATATTGTCCCAAATAATTTTTTAGGTTTTAAATTATTTCAAATAATATTTCCTACTGCAATTGTCAGTAATAATATTACACAAAATTACAAAGAATTTCATGACATTTTCTCATCCACATCCTCAAGGTTTTTAGCACTACTAGTGTTAAAAATAGTTATTATAGGTTTAATTTTATTCCAAATAATTCTCAAAGTTGATTGTTCAGCTTTCCTCTCCGCTGTCATGCCACCACAACATTTACCTTACCTACAATATACAGTTAAAGGGATCCTACACAATATATAGTTAAAGGGATCCTACACATTATACAGTTAAAGGGATCCTACACAATATATAGTTAAAGGGATCCTACACAATATACAGTTAAAGGGATCCTAAACATTTATACACTTAAAGGGATCCTACACAATATATAGTTAAAGGGATCCTACACATTTATACACTTACAGGGATCCTACACAATATAAAGTTAAAGGGATCCTACACAATATACAGTTAAAGAAATCCTACACATTTATACAGTTAAAGGGATCCTACACAATATACAGTTAAAGAAATCCTACACAATATACAGTTAAAGGGATCCTATACAATATACAGTTAAAGAAATCCTACACAATATACAGTTAAAGGGATCCTACACAATATACAGTTAAAGTGATCCTACACAGTATACAGTTAAAGACATCCTACACATTTATACAGTTAAAGGGATCCTACACAATATACAGTTAAAGAAATCCTACACATTTATACAGTTAAAGGCATCCTACACAATATACAGTTAAAGAGATCCTACACAGTATGAACCAAATATTCTCCAATTCATTAATATTCTGGTCCCTATTACGGTTAAAGTTAAAAAAAAACTAATCAATTTTAAAAACACTATTACGGTTAAAGTATTTTAAAAACACTTTAATTAATACTTTTTTTCTTGTCTGACAAAAGTATAAACATTTATCTTTTTATTTGTTCATGGAATAAAAACTATAAAAACTGAATTACTCTTGTTTTAAAAGTTTTATGTAAACAAAAAGCTTAAAATACTATATATGTATATATATAAAGAGTATTTTCAACTTTCCGATATATATATAAAATATAATAATGACTTGGTCGGAGTTTGGTAAAATATAGTTGGTCTATTGGGTCTAAACTCTACATTGCAGTATTATTAATAATAACTCTTTAGTCTATAGTTATCCCATATGTAGGGTTTATTTTTGGATTATTTTTGGATTATTTTAGGATTATTTTTGGATTATTTTAGGATTATTTTAGGACTTTACTTTATTTCCGAAAAAGAAAAATTTTGAAGAAAAAAGAGTTAGACAAACTAAGATTGAAAAAAGAATTGCAAAGTTAATGGTTTCAAAGCAAAGTAATTGAGTCTTTGCCACAAACTCAAATTTTCTAATCCCCATATATTTTTGTAACCTGATGGTGTAAACCTTTGATATTTCAAACTTAGATTTTTTTTCCAACAGAATTCATAGTTCAATTTCTTTCAATGAAAAATGCGCGCGTAAGATTATAGCGGTGACGGAAAAAGTACTTTTTTTAAAATAATAACAATTTATCAAAGTTTTTTGTCTTTAATCCTTTAACCCAGAGAAAGATTTTTCAAAAACAAAATACACCAACATTTTTATATCAATCTAAACCCACATTTTTAAAGAAATGATTCTTAATTGTTTATTGTTATTTTAGCAAGAATGTACATGTACATTTCAAGTTTAATCAAGGTTATTATAAACTGTTCCATATATGAAAACAATTCGTGTAAAAGAAAGTTCTATTCCTATATGTATCCTAATCAAATGAACCGAATAGCGGGCTATGCATGATATATACAATTTCTCACATATCCTGTACATGTGGTACATAACGCATGTACATTTAACTTGTAAAATATGTACACAAAATTAAAGATTAACACCTATATATTAAACACAGCTG